AAGGAATTCAGCAAATTGGTTATTAATACATTGATTTATATATATGATCTTAATTCAACAGGTTAGCAGCCTCTGAACATATATAATAATACAAATAAAAAATGGCCCTTGTTAACCCCACTGCAGGATGAAAGCCTCCTCACATCTGGCTATTGTTTAATCATATTTCACTACTCTGGTCAATGCGGGTTGTATTTATGTTGAGATTCGTTTGCACCGTACGTAGCCAACCGTGCAAATCGGAGGTGTAGGGGAAAGGACAACAAACTAAACACAAAAAGCAGTTCTAAAAACATTAGTTTTCAATCCAGATTGAAAAGTGCATAGCTCCAGTGGTTTCCTATTATCGGAAGTAAAATAGTTCCAGATGGCCGCAGAAGCGCATCTGAAAACGTGCGATGCAGTGACCGTCTTTGTTCGATGGTTATCCAAGAGTCGCTGCGAGGATGACCAGAATTTGCATGATGGTGCGTGCTCCTTGACGAGATCAATAAGGTAATGTGGATCATTTGTGGTAAGCACTTTGTGTTATAAGGAGTGCGACCTTGTAAGAGGGCGACCACTGATGTTAGCTGTGACTGGCCATTGAACTCAGGCCATTGGATTCATGGAGCAGTGAGCTAACCACTGCGGAGACGCACCACCCATTGACCTTATTTAAAAAATATTAAAGCTAGTTGCTTCGAATATCACCATGTAATCTTTTACCTATTCATAGAAATACATATTTTGGAAGACTACATTATGGAGGATCTTTTTGGTTAAAAGATATTTTCCAGTATTTAATACTTTGGAATGTGCCTTCGATACAAAAAACGAAAAATAATCTCAATATAATCATTCACATTCATTAACTGCTCCGAAAGATATCAATGAAAATATCTTACTTTGATTTCGAAATATATTCAGACTTTTTTTCATGTAAAAGTACTTTGCAAGGGACTTACGACATTTTTTTTATGTAAATGAATGCATAAAATTCCACTCTTTGGTGAGCTGAAGGAAATATAAATGATTTGTGGAAACATTTATACATGGATGCACCTGGTGACCTGCTGAAAGAACAGGAAGCCGAGATGATAAATTGGTCCCTCGATGTTCTTTCAAGGTGATAAAAATGCGACTTGAAGGCAACCGGCTACCAAAATCCATTTTTTTTTTACTATATATCTTGCTTCTATTTGGAACTGAATTTTTTATTTGGTAAATATATATGAATACACTAACGCATGTGTTTTGTATAACTGTGCTTTAAAATAAGTTAAGTAATAGCATCGTAAAAAAAACCCTAATCTGTAAAGCCAGTGGATGACGGTGGAATCCACAATGCCCCAGGAGTATATAAAAAGAAAATCTGCGATAACCTAATTTTAATAATGAAATCATAATTTACAGTTCTTTATTATTCCACTGCTGGATGAAGGCTTCCCCACAGAATAATGGGTGTTGTTCAATACATAAACTGTAATATATGTTTACAATCTGAGTACAATGTTTCGCCAGTAATTACAACTAACAATGAAGCTAGTTGTAATTACTGGAGAAACGTCGTAATCAGATTGTAAATGTTGTGGATTTGCTCTCTAACACACCGGTGTGCTGTACTAGTAATGGATTGGCATGTTCTGTTCACGTAACAAACTTTACTAATTGGCTGTGTGGGGTGGTGGCGGGTTTAACGACACATTTATATATTTACGCGATATATCTAAAAAAAATCCTGTATTATGGATGATATTGGTCGCAAAAGCCTACGTGTTAAACTTAAATCAAATATTTGTAACACACTAAATACTGCGAAAAATGCGGAGATGGAAGTGCGGATGGCGCAGAGAAAAAAAATCAACGAAATTAAAATGAATAGAAGATAAAAAATTGTCTAGTCTTAAAAGCACCAATTAGCACAGCTGAGCAGACTTCAGTCAGCAGAGACTGTTTCACACCACGGGAGCTACAGATGAAAAGCTCCGTTCTGCCGTCCTAATCCGAGTGAATCTCACACATCGTCACAGCAGGTCCATAGCAGATGAGCCTAGGTTTCGGTATGGTACGTATGGGTAGATGGCATCACTCAGTAATGTTGGCTGACCTATTTCCTATGCCATGAAAGCGAGTTTTGCGACCTTGGTTAGCCATCTTCTTGGTTCTTTCGGTAAAGTCACGTAGAAGGGAAATAATAAAATAATAAAAATAAAACATAATAAAATAATTCTCACTGTGAGAATTATTTTATTATGTTTTATTGTGAGAATTATTTTATTATGTTAAATTTTTATTATTTCCCTTCTACGTGACTTTACCGAAAGAACCAAGAAGATGAATCCCTGCAGTCACAAAAGCTTTAAATCGAAACTTGGTTAGCCAGTGCAGCTCCTTCAAATGGTTTGAAGAGCTCTCGAGAGGTGGGGCCAGGCAAGCGACTGTGGTGAGGGTGTTTTGGAGATGCTCGAGACGTTTGCTAATTGTTTGACCATACTTCACCATGCTGGTCAGTGCAGCCTGGTGTGGGTTTGGTCAAGTGGATGCAGAGGACCGGTTCGGATAACCATACTCGTCGCCAACGCTAGCCATGGCCGGGAATGGAACATTGAACTGCCGAGTTCACAGCGCAGTGTGCTAACCACTGTGCCACTGCTTCCCCCTGCCATGTCTTATCCGAAACAATAATAAGAATAAATAATAATCCAAGAATAGCTGAGAGAAGGAGACTGAGTCAATAGGGAAGATATGTATGTATGTTGAATTTCTTTTGCACCTGTACGTAGCCAACCATTATAATCGGATGGGCTGCCTTCGAGTAATCCGTATTTGGCTTGTAGTATACCACATGGCCAGGACATCATGGCAAATTGTATTCCACCAATGAGTAGTCTTCTTCCAGTCATTACCGCACCCAGCATGACTGTGGTGCTAAGCAAAGAATGAAGCATGCAGGTGGCTGATGAGGGGGGACGGGCTGAGGGATAATGTGCACACCGATTGGTCACCAAATGGCAGGGGCAACCTTGTAAAGTTGCACGGAGCCTTTCAGTATATTTTCCGAGATGTATAAATATGTGGCCCTTCCTATTTCATCCACCCAGCCCCACTCTCCAAGGTAAAAACAAAGACCCCCCTCCCCCCGATATAGCCTTTAACAGACTTTAGGGACAAGTGGTGTTAGCGAGCACCTATTAATTCCCACCCTCCTCAGCTGCGGCTGGGGTGAGAAAGCAACCTGAGAGAAATTAATTTGTTCTATGCCATGTCTAATGTAGACATGGGTGAAGGTAAGCGACTTAAAGCCAGTGTTAATATAGTCAGCCGTTTTATTTGTTTATTTTAGCCATCGGCCGAGTATAGCTGATTACAGCGCATGGAATTCTGGTCGGGGTTTAGTCCTTGGATTTAATTCAGTAATTATCTTAGTCTTTTTGACTAAAGGAATCAAACCCTTCGTCAGTTATTAAATGTTAGTGTGAGGTGCGCGCAGTTTAATTACACCGCTCGCCCCCTCATCCAATATCCAATATCATCAGGTCAGCCAATTTCCATTTTTAGTCCTCAGTGCACGACTGTCCTTATAAAACGTTATTTAATCATCTTCGTCTTGATGCAGACCAATTAATTCCATCGTTTCATAGTCATGTCGATGTGTTTGGTGGGCAGATGTAGCCATTGTCATAATAATCTTTGTCTGCTCAGTCATCGTTTGTCCAAAAAAAAGTTCAAACTTAATCGCTGAATATTTACATAACAAATTTTCTGCACAAACATGTTATATTATGCTGTAATTAATGCGGTTTTTAAACCCCATCCTACGTGCCTTTAACACGAAAAAAACCGTGCAAAGTGGAACTTAGTGGGTGATGTCGTAGTGCACGCATGCAGCTCGGTGTCGAACGGAATGCTTGCGGCCCTGGGAGCTGAGCTCACGTGTCACTGGGGTTGCTCAGGAGGACTTGGAGGTTGAACGTGGGCTCGTAGGTCGGGCTAGGTTCTGAACGATTTGGGGAAAAATCTCTCATTGCGGTTTTTCAGATAGATGTTGCGATTGCGATTAACATTTTTTTAAGTCAAGCTTCAGTTAAATATTCACTGTGTAATAGATTTAAAACATGTGATGGAGCATTGCCACATGATACCATCAAAATATGGACTGCTCTATATATTCTAATGCAAGGTTGAGAACTTAAAAGATATGAATTGCTTCCAACATGAATTTATTAAAATGTTTTAATTGAAATAGAACAATCAAACATATAACAATTGTTCAGTTAAATAAATTAAGTTATAATAATAATAAAAAATAAAACAATTCCAATAAGAAAATAACAGCACTTTTCAAAAATTGCAAAAAAAATCGCAGCCTTTGCGATTTGCTAATCGCATTGTTTCAAATTGCGATTTCTATTTGAAATCGAATTAATCGTTCAGCCCTCGGTCGGGCCCAGTTCAGGCACCGAACCTGCACACTGCCCCCAGTTTGCCGTGGAGAGCCCGGCACTAGCAAAGCTCACGTCGGGCCCCAAGGGGTCCGCGGGGATCGCACCGCTCCCAGACGATGTGCCGCCTCTTTGCTGGTCCTGGCAGCCCCAGCCCAGGGTAAGAGCAGACACGCAATGCACGGACGCGCGTTCTCCAAGCCTCCAGATCTCATCTCGACCGCCCAATGCCGCTTGCTCGAGGTGAAGCTCGGGAGGGAGGACGGCGATGGCATTGATGGTGGGAGGTCAATAGATAGCAGAGGAAGGTCCGATTGGACCTCAAAGGCAGATTTGGCAGAATAGGAAGAAGAATACTCACCTCTTGACTTAAAGCTTTCGTGACTGCAAGAATGCATATTATTTGGGTCTTTCGGTAAAGCCGCGTAGATAGGTTCAAAGAAAATAACAAAAAATACCTGACCTTTCGATCACAACACAAGCGATCGCTTGTGTTGTGATCGAAAGGTCGTAATTTTTTTGTCTTTGAACCTATCTACGTGACTTGACCGAAAGACCCAATGAATGAAGACTCACCTCTCTCGCAGGATCGCCCGGTGAAGCCCGTGGCGGCACAGTCGCACACGTAGCGGTTCCAGCCTTCGTGGCACACGCCGTTGTTGCGGCACGGAGCCGAGCTGCACTGCTTTGGCGAGTCCTTGGCGCAGTAGGGCTTCACTCCCGCCGAGCTCTGCTGCTCGGCCAACAGGCGGATGTCCTTACTCTGCCCGTCCACGAAAATGTCGCGCACGCAGCCCACAGTATCCTTGGTTGAGCAAGGCCGTCCACAGCTCGGTTGGGAGTAGCAGGCCCAGTTTGTCCTCCGGCAGACCCCCGAGGTACATGTCGCCATCCAGGTCCAGAATCTCACTCTCTCCGCTAGGCGGTGAAAGGGCTACGCTGGCTGTTCACAGAGATCGTGCCTGCAGACTAGACGCCGCGGAGGACACCAAATGACACCAGATTGTCACGTAATTTCAGGTTGAAATGCACTGAAAAGGTGCTATACCCCGCATTTTATGGTGGCAACGTTGCCATATTCATAAAGAAGAGGTAATTAGTTCATTTAACAGGAGGATTTTGATTCATATATTAAATACAATCCCATCATTAAGCGCAATACCATTATTTTGACGAGGATCACATTAACAATAATTACAAATGTTAAATAACTAATTCTAGTGAAGGGCTTTTTAAATGCAAAATGTCGTTAAGTACAATAGCAAATGTGTTTTAGGGGGAAAAAAAACCAGATGCTATATCGTTATCACCATGAAACTAAACCGAAAATCAATCAGTGCACAATTCAATCTAAATAAGAGAGTACGAAAGCGATTTATTTATTTAATTTATACGTAAAATAAGCTATCTTCTGAGGTTATCAAGCTGTAGTCGCGGAATTATATTTGTCACACTTTCGGATAAGGTGGCAATTTCCCTCCGAAGTAGGTGGTTAGCTCAAAGATGATGCATTCCTAATTGACTGTTGGTGACGATTTCCTCCAAACTGACATGATTAGAGAAACAAAAACAAGGGACCAAACGGGTAACAGAGCAGGGAATATTTTATATCAATTTGATCGAGATTATGCAGTAGACATCGTAGTGCATTTTTTCAGTCACTTTTTGTATAGTTCGTAGTCTAGCTTGATACTTGCCCAGCATTAAAAGCATGCAGATGAAGCGATTTTATTAATAAAACTGCAATGCCACCTAACCCAAAAACAAATATGGATCAAATTGATAAAAAAAAAATTGGGGAATCCAACAATAATATAACCAATAAGTTGAAGAAAAAAATAAAAATTTCACTGAAATTTATAATAATTGTGTTTCATGACAATATATAAAGGGAAACTAACCTGCCCTTCCATCTCGCTGGAAGTCCACGTGGTACCACTCGCCATCATTGACCTTCTGATCGGTGGCCTTCACCTTTATGGTACCGGAACCCATGTCTAGCAAGAGGTAAAGATGCCCATCCAAAAGCTCGACGGCAAAGAAGTCCCCTTTGATGCTTTTGAGGCCCTTGGGGTCTTTAATCTCGCTGGGTTTGCCCTGGGTAAAGAGGATGAGTCCACTGGGCTCAGTCGTCCGGAAGTCGAAGGAAATGGATCCTGTGCGCTTGGTCTTCCAGCGTGGCAGGGATATGTAGGCCTCTGGTGTTTCGAATGTGATCGGGTCCATAGCTGCCACGTTCTCGCAGTTGAAGGAAACATCTCCGACCACTTTCATTTTGGGTTCGCTCTCTTTTGCCAGCCGAGAGAGTTCTAACTTGATGTCACTGTTCTTATACACCACCTGTGTTACAAACACAATAAAAATCGAAAACATAGTTATTTATATTAACGATTGTACGTGTGTGTGTGTGTTTTATTGTAGGTAGCGATAGTGTCGTGGTTGGCGCATTGCGCTACGAACCCGACGACAAGAGGAAGATTCTCGCTCACAGCCCACATCGGTAACGAATACCGGAACCGGTCCTCGGCCTCCCCTAGGTCATCTCAGCCTGGTGTGGTGTGTGAATTTCAAGGCGGCAGGACAACCTGCTGGTCACCCACCCCCTCGTGCCTTCATAAGTGCTTGCAAACAGCACTTTGCCCTAACAGTCTTTTAGAGGCTATGTGGGGGATCTTTGTATTTGTTTAATTTCATGAGGCTAGGCATCTAAGTTTAGTCAAAATGAAAGTTAAAATGTGTCAAACATACATATGAATAATAGAAAAATGTCACCTGGTAATAAACAATTGATACGTGAAAATTCAGTCTGCACAAACAAGCAAGAGGTCGGCACTCGTGTCTGTTGGCAGTTCAGAGCCAGTGATGCAAATTCCACATTCTCATAGCAGGAGGTAGTCTATCCACCAGAAAACAGCAGTTAATTTCCCGCAATGTGGTACTATATCACGTGACATGGGAGGGATGATATGCTCAAATGACCCCCTGACTTCGATTTCAACTCATTATATTCGGAACGTGAGTTGAGTATCGAAGCAAACTACCGCATGGGTGAGACTAATACACGTGTCAAGACGAAAGAGGTAAAGATGCAGCCCTGCAAATGCTTAACACTACTCGACTGGCCAGTAGCTCCACAAGAGTGAGCTCTAGAGTGCTCCTCTAAAGGTTTCAATATATAATTGTTCAATATATAAACAATATAAATAAATGGAGCATATATATGCTTAGTTGGTAAATGAACAATAGTTTTTATTTAAATGATGCCTATTGTTCTGCTGTAACTCCATAAATAGAGACTGTATAGACTGCATCTTGGTGCAATGCTTCGTGAGAGTGTAACATGTGGAATTTGAAAAATGTATCTGGGGGAATTACTCTTTCTCGGTGTTTATTTCTGACTGGGAACTCCTGGCAAAGCCATTTATACTGAAATTGAAAATGTATGTCAACGTGCAAATAATTTCACAGTTAATTCAATGACCTTGATTTTAATACTGTACATGGAAGGGCTTCCTTTGGCTCACCGGTAAGTGGAATTTCCAGCTAATTTAAACTAGAAATCTTTGGAAAGCGCATGTCCAATAACACACATACCCCCTCCACCCTTTCACATTGGGCTCATACATTTTCAAAGGAAATATATTTTTGGGTAAAGCGTGGAACTTTTGTACGTGAGCTGGCAGGAAAAATCTATCATACATTTTTTTCCCTCGAAAAATTTCGACCCATTATAGCCCAAGTATGCTGACAGCATACATATATGGCACAGACCAGCACCCACCAATGTGTTTTTTTTTATACCTCCAGCATTGAGCTGTGAAAAGTGGAATGGGTAACACATCACACATCAGAGATCCCTGACAGCTGACATAGACAGTGAGTGCATTATACTTTATTTATGTCAGCTGCACGAGTGAACATTACATGCAGCTTACACGTAAACCACAAAGTTAATACCGTACTATATAAAGCCAAGAATATTGGTTTTCCATAACACTGTTAAAATTGGGCATGTAATTGGGATTATTAGAAGACAATTTGTGAGCAGTATATGCTATATACATTGTTACGATTAAATACGCATGTATTATAATGAAATGGAAATGCACGTGCTCAAATGCAGTGTGTATGTGCTACTCTCTAGTGCAGGGGTGGGTAACCTTTATTCTGCCAAGGATATTTATAACATCATTTGCGGGCCATACAAAATTATCAACTTAAAATTAGCCTGTTATATTTGGTCAAACATTTAATTAACTCACCCCTAATGTAATGGCTGGAACTGCTTCTCTTTGGCGAGGCATGTGATGTTAGCTGGTATTGATGATGTTGCTACTCGCAACTGCTTTTCCAGGTTTGCTCCTAGATTTATTGATTTTCGAGTCTCGCCTGCGGTTGCCTTGGCAGGGCCAGACCCAAATGATTTCGCGGGCCTCATACGGCCCGGCCCGCGGGCCGGACGTTCCCCACCGCTGCTCTAGTGCAAGGTTGTAAGGTGTCCTCTTCGGAATTTCATATAATTTCTTTAAACTCAAAATTACACTTTACATATACCGATTTAATAGTGTATCAGACTCAGAACACTTATTTAGACTGGAGGAATCCGATTAGCTACAAAGCTCTTTTTCACAGATGTTCAGTAGCGGCACGGGGTCAGAACGTTGCAACAACAAATAATGCAAACACACGACAAGAGTACAAAGTATAGGAAAGGTAAACAAATCAATTAAAATATATTTACAAATAAAACGAAATAATTTATTTGTTTTACGAGGTAAAGTCCACCGAACTATGCGCTTTATTTTTTTATAGCTCGACGAGGCAGGATTATCACGTGGAAATTTATAGCAGCAAAAACACATTCCTGCGGAGGGAGCTGGTAGGAACGTTGGGTTGCTCGGTCAATGGCCTGCAGGGTCAAAGGCGGCGTGGTGTATTCCGCAAATATGGCCGACTGTGAGGGCGGGCACAAGCCGGCGTGAGTCGGTTAAACGTTGAGTTTTATAAGGGCACCACAGGGTGACCCGCCCCTCCCCACCCAGCCCCACCCCTCCCATCCCCCACCCAGCCCTACCCTTCCCACCCAGCCCCTCCCCACTCTCCCCTCCCCACCCAGCCCCTCCCCACCCTCCCCACCCAGCCCCTCCCCACCCTCCCCTCTCCACCCAGCCCTACCTCTCCCATTTTTGGATGCACGACGGACGGACGGACACAATCATCCCCTGTGGGCTGGTGTAACCAGGAGGTTCCTACCAGTATAATAAAAATAATATAGACTCATGTTTCTAAATGTGGAGGGGAAAACCAGAGGACTTGGATAAAGAATCCACCTGACCACAGGGAGAACATGCAAACTCCAAATATGCAGGTGTCATTAGAGCGGATTTCCACTCTCGTGGAAAGATACCTTCGGTAATTGAGAGTTTGAAAATGTGCAGGAGAGGTTTATGAATAAGATCTGCCACGGCCACAAGTGCAAATGCAGGCAACTCTTCTTCTCCCGTGGATGATGCGAGCTTATGCAACACATCCAGTTCAGATATGGGACTAAACGAGAAGCATGGACGATGACTCTGACTAACATTTTTAGGGGCGGTGTGTGAAGAGGAAGAAGTGAGTGATGTGAAGAGTGGTGTATTCGGATACATTTTACTCCGGTGTGTTTTGTCAAAGATATACCCAACTGATCCAAATTGAAAATTAAATGCATTGGCAATGTCTTGTTTCGCGAACAGTTCTTTGCCATAAAATCAGAGTATTTTGGAAGAATATTTAGCTTTCCTTTGTTTTCAACTGAGTTGAACGATTTCCAGAAAAGTCTTGGATTTTGTTGTGAATTTAGAACAGTTTGGTGGTAATAAGAAAATATAGCGTTTCTTACTTTGCGAGTACATCAATTTGTAATTGTTTCATTAATTCAGAATCTTAATATTACTACTCTACGTGAGTGTACAATCGTGCCACTTAATGCGTTTATACAAATTCAAAATCGCAACAGACATTTGGTTGTGCATTTACGGGGATTATTATAGCTGCTATAGTCAAACTCTGCAATCATTGTGCTCCACCAGAGTAACTGGTAAAAATGTTTAAAATCCATGTTTAAAATGACATTGTCTAGGGGTTTCAAAAAATCGCCTTCTTTATAATAATAACAACAATGGATTCGATTTGGTTATTCACACAATTCTTACAGCACAAGGATATTTCGCAGCCATAGTCTGCAACAATTCCACTGCCATTGTGGAGCGCCACGGTGGTGAGATGTGAACTGCCCTGCCTGGTATGCAGGAGGGCGTGGGTTCGATCCTGACGCTGATGCCTGCTGTATATTTGGAGTATGCGTGTTCTCTCCCCGTGGTCGTGTGGATTTTTCTCCGGGTCCTCTGGTTTTTCCCACCACATTTAGAATTAATATCCTTTTAGGGTATTTGGCTGCTATATATTTCCGCGTGATAAGCCACTTCGTTGAGCTATCATTTGCGGCCAAGTTGCTGCTGAAAAAAGAGCTATATAGCTCAGTGGGCCTTACCTGGTAAAATAAAAATGTGTGTAATTTTAAATGAATAGTTTCGTTTAGTAGACGGCGACGTTAGTACGTGTAGTCCCAATTGAGTAACTTGCAGGTCAATTTTCGAATTTGGATAATCTGGACCATGATGCTGGTACACAATGGTCGACTCGTTTTGAAGTACGTCAGGTTATCTTTGTATCGTCCACTGTGAAACAGACGGCGTGTTGTTTCATGGATAATTCTGCAGTGACTCGCCAGGATGGCCTGTTGGGCCATGTCACTATCCTTTAAGACTATTCAATTGTAAAAGTGTATGCGGTTGAATAGAAATAGTTCGAAATGGAAATCGTGCTAGATGTTAAACTTGAGCTCTGGTAGTGTAACTGTGTAACAGATACTGCAATCCAGTTTTTTCTTGCCATCTTGAGAAGACGTCAACATCCAATTAAAATGACAATGCAAGAACTGGACGGATCATCAGCTATATGTTCAGTTTTAGTTTCTTTCACATCTTGAGTTTAATTGCTCAGACTACATGTAAATTGTGTAACATTAGGTTTAAGTAATATTTTAATGTTCAAGGAATATTTTAACGTGTCAAAATAGATAGTGAGTTAATAGCAATCTTAAAAAAACATATACAGATGTATAAAAAAGAATAAAAACATTTCACGCACTTATGTGAAGTAACTTCACATTTCTTCCTGATAAATAACACTTGGGAAAGTTATATTTGATAACTTATCGATTCTCACAAAACATTTTGTCTTTTATTTACTTCAATTCACGACCACTTCTGTTGCAATTGCTGAGGAATCCATAACGT